AGGCAGGCGGATCTCTGTGAGTTCAAGGCCAGCCTGGGCTACCAAGTGAGTTCCAGGAAAGGCGCAAAGCTACACAGAGAAACCCTGTCTCGAAAAAACCAAAAAAAAAAAAAAAAAGAAAAAGAAAAAAAGAAAAGAGTCCCATGACCGACATGGTGGTCCATGCCTGTAATCCTAGCACTTGGGAGGTGAAGGCTGGAGGAGCAAGTTTAGAGCCACCTGCTATTATATAGCAAGTTCAAAACCAGCCTGGATTGCATGAGACCCTGCCAGAACACACACACACACACACACACACACACACACACACACACAGCACTACACACACACACACACACACACACACACACACTCACACACAGAACACACACTCACACACAGAACACACATACACGGTGAGGGGACAGAAATGGTAAGGAGGCAGGCAGATAGATGATAGAGAGAGGGAGGTGGAAAATGAGAACGAGAGAGAGAGAGAGAGAGAGAGAGAGAGAGAGAGAGAGAGAGAGAGAGAGAGAGAGAATCTCTGCTCCCTGCTCCAGTTTCTCTTCATCTCTCCTAACCTGAAGGTAATGGTTGCTAGCTTTCTGTTATCCAGCATGTTCTGTCAGATCAATAGGTCATCCCTGGCCATGTACCTTGAGATCACGGGTATTTCTTCTAGAATGAAAAACCAAACCAAATCAATCAGAGCATCCCACCCCAATTATTCCTATGCATTTTGTTATCATGACGTCTCTATTTTCTGATGTTGTTCCAAAACAAAACACAAGAAGATAGTCCAGAGAGCACAGTTAGTTCCTTACAGGGAGCACAGTTGTTAGCTCTTTACAGGGAGCACTGTTAACTCCTTACAGGAATCACAATTGTTAGCTTCTTACAGGGACACAATTGTTAGCTCCTTACAGGGAGCACTGTTAGCTCCTTACAGGAATCACAATTGTTAGCTTCTTACAGGGAACACAGTTAGCTCCTTACAGGGACACAATTGTTAACTCCTTACAGGGAGCACGGTTAACTCCTTACAGGGAGCACTGTTAGCTCCTTACAGAGAACACAGCTTCTTACATATTACCCTGTGTGCTTTATATGTTCAACAGGACCAAACAGTTCACAAATCCTCTGGCCTTAGTACTGTGGTATTGGCTGTCTTCCCTGGGTCACACACTTGGTGCTGGCCTGTAGAATTGAGTGACTTGGTCTCTGCCTACAGGAGTAAAATTTTTGAGAAAGGACTTCTACAAAACAAGCAACCCAGAACTTCAACAGCCCTACCAACACTTGTAAAATAAGCAGAAATAGCAGAATTTCAACATCTAGACTCAGAATTCATCCATTGCTATATTCCCTTTTAAAGCTTTATTTATTTTTATATTATGTGTATGAATGCTTGCCTGTGTGTATACGTACATTGTGTGAGTGCCTGGTGCCTACAGAGGCCAGAAGAGAGTATCAGATCTCCCCACACTGTGGTGACCAAAGGCTGCAAGCTACCATGTGGGCGCTGAAAATCAAATCCGGGTCCTCCGAAGGAGCAACAGGTGCTCTTAACCGCCGAGCCACCTCTTCAGCTCCAACAGCTCAGTTTAGAACACTTGAAAAGTGCAAGAGACTTTAGCTGTATTACTGCTGAAGGTTGGGTGTAGGAGTGTGCATGCTTGTTCTCACCGTTCATGGTGGTGACGTAATGGGTGTCCTTGAGCTCCTGTAGGGTATGAATTCTCTCCCACCTCGAGCACTGCTTGGACTGGTGGTCCAGTCACTTCCTGGGTGCTTATTTGCATTATTTGAATTTAATAGACTTGAATATTTAAAATACATAGGCTTCTGACAACTAGGAAGCCCCCAAAAGTCTGCCAGTGTCAATGAGGATACCTCGCCTCACACCACTATTAATCGCTCTCTATTCCCGCAGCTAGAACCCGAGTTGGGCAGGTGCGAGCCACCGACGCAGACTTGCCCCAGCGTAGCGTGGTGTATTCCATATCCAGCGGAGGGGCCAGCCTCCGGTACCCAAACATCTTTTGGATTAATCCCAAGACAGGCGAACTCCAGCTAGTAACTAAAGCAGACCATGAGACCACTCCCGTCTACATTCTCACGGTCGAGGCCTCCAATGGCGAGGACACGAGCTCTGTCACTGTGAGTTGGGGCTGTTGGGTCTCTCCACCGTCCCCCAGCTGGTTGACTCGGGCTCTCCCTGGCCCCCTCAGCATGTGGTACAGCAAGAGGGGTCCGTGAAGGGGAGAGTAAGTAGTACTTCCCAGGACATAAAGATCACTTTATTTGAGGCTCACATTTGTGGGTGAAGTGTTAAGACTGACGGCAAGTCTGCTGCATCCACAAAGCCACTTTGTGTGACAAAGTCCCCCTTAGTGCCCTTTAAATCTTGCTGTCTTCCACCGGTTGGTGGTAAGTGGCAAGCTGCCAAAGTGGGTCGGTTTTGTAGTTCTTAATCTCTTCCTGAAGCAGCATTGCCTGTTTCTGCCCTCTGCCATGCTCACCAGATGGGGTGGCATTGCCTGTTTCTGCCCTCTGCCATGCTCACCAGATGGGGCGGTATTGCCTGTTTCTGCCCCATCCACATGCTCACCAGGTGGGGTAGATATTACATGATGTTGTGACTCGACCTTGTACCATGATGATAAAATTGCTGACTCTGGCTACTGTTGAAGTAAAGAGAGGTACCCTGGCTCCTGATTCAAACCCATCTGTTTGGGCCTTTGGTGAGGGTGGCATGTGGTGGGAATATGTGTTTTTATAGGGTTTTTTGGGGGGGTATTTTTGTTTTTGCTTTTTGTTGTTGTTGTTGTTGTTATTGTTTTGTTTTGAGACAGGGTTTCTCTGTGTAAACACTCTGGCTGGCCTGCAATTTGCTCTGTAGATCAGGCTGGCCTTGAACTCACAGAGATCCACTTGCCTCTGCCTCTGGGATTAAGGGTGTGCTCCACCACTGCCCGGCAACAATATGTGTTTTAGACAATGCTCACTCACATTTCAAGAGTCAGGACGTAAGGAGAAGACAGGCTAGGGTCCCCCAGTCCCTTTGAGAGTATCCCCTTAATGACCTGTGGATGTCCCATGAGACCCCACCACCCATAGTAACTGCACTCCACAGCAGTACCAGACTGGGCACACGCCTCTGGCACATGGACCTGTGAGGGACCCACATCTGTTTGCAGACGTCTGCTGCTCAGCGTTCCATGGTGAGGCTGTCACTGAATGCAGATTCTCAGTGCACAGTGTGCGGCACCTGAGTCCAACTCCCAGGGGTACCGTGCTGTGCACGGGCATCGCTGATGGTCTAGTGGGTCTGTGGGGTGAGTGTTGCAATGCTCTGAGGGCTACGTGATGGCCATAAAGATCCATTAGTACAGTGGAAAGGTATGGGGGAAGTGACATGGCTGGCAGCTGGCAGCTAGCAGTGTGGTAGGGACAGCAACCGGCTTGCAGTGAGGAAAATGAATTCATTTCTTAGCCACGCTCCCAATTTTCTGAGGGGATATGAGCAAGGCTTATCTCTATGACCCTATTTCTCTAGAAAGTCATGTGATAAACCAGTGCCCGAGTAGTTCAGTTCCTCTGGTGACTTGCTTTGAATTAATGGGATGAAGTTCTCAGCGATGCATGAGGCTCGGAATTGCTGGCCAAGGAAATTTGGAGATAATTGCAGTGTTTGTTAGGCTGTATTTTTTTTCTTTTTTCATTTTTTTTTTAAAGAGAAAAATGAATGGACTCCACTCTGGGAGCTAACTAGAGTGAACATTTCAATTTATTCCCAGTCTCAGAAATAGCTGAAATCCCTAAATTTCAAAAGTAGAATGCATACGACTCAAAATTCATAAGCCTTTAAAAAAGGGCGATGAGCCGAAATGATCACATAAGTCCCTTTCAGGGCTGACACTGTGGGATCCGGTGCCGGCAGAGTCCTAGTCAGTTCACCAGGCCTGGGACACAGCAATGAGAGCTGCCGGGCAGCTGAGGACTCTGCCGTGCTAACAGCCAAGCTGTAGACCTTCCCTCTAGCCCCTTGCTTCTTAGGCCTGCCTGCAGAGAAGTCAGCTGAGGAACGTAACAGAAAGTGTCTGGGCCCCACCCTCCAGGGACTCCAGGTAGGCACAAGAAAACGGATCCAGAGTTGAGAGTCATTGTGATGTACAACAAAACTAGAGACTAATTTCAGGTTCACAGGGGACGGTGCATAAGTAAATATATGCATTCCCATAAGTTCATGGCCATTGTTGAGAGAATCTGGCATCATCTTTGGGAAGCATGTGTGTTGAGGGATGATGTTTGCATATCTGCATACTCTACATGCACACACATATGTCTGCACATGCACACACACAGCAGAGAACATGCACACACATACATCTGCACATGCACACACAGAGCAGAGAGCATGCACACACATGTCTGCACATGCACACACAGAGCAGAGAGCATGCACACACATACATCTGCACATGCACACACATAGCAGAGATGTTAACAGCAAAGGATTTTAGCAGGGCTATTACTACACTGAAATCTTAGCCAGCCCCTCACTATTTGAGTGGGTTTATGTCAATTACTCACTGTCTCTCAGCCACCTTTTCTCACCTGTAGATGGGAGCTATCACATTCTTACTCACATATGAAGTTAGATCAGTGAATTCATGCAAATTTCGTATCCCACACAGTGAGCACTCACTACATTTTAGCTCTTAAGAATAACTGTCCTGGGCTGATAAAATGGCTCAGTGGGTGAAGGTAGTTGCTGCCGAACCCAAAAACTTGAGTTTGATCCCTGGGATCCACACGGTGAAAGGAAAGACAGCCATAAGTTGTCCTCTGACTTCTGCCCACACAGCACACATACACACACTGAATAAAATGTAGTAATGTTTTAACCACCTTCCTGCTATTCTAGATCACTGTAAACATCATTGGAGAAAATGATGAAAAGCCAATGTGTACCCCAGAATTTTACTTCATGGCTATCCCAGTGGATCTGAAAGTTGGCACAAACATTCAGAATTTCAAGTTGACATGTACTGACCTTGATTCTAGCCCCAGATCTTTCCGATACTCCATTGGCTCAGGTATTGTACTTGGTATCAACAGTTCTGGGCCCTTCAGGGAGGGACAGAACACTGGGCTGTTGCTCATACACTGATGTGGGCGTGGGAGGGCGCATTTTGTGTGAGGAAGGAGGGCTGAGGAATACAAGGGTTCCTGCCTTTCCCAGTGCTCCATGAGTTTCTTTGCCTCACCTAGCTCTTCCAGAAACCCCCACAACCAGACTGACGCCCACATGGCTGTTCCAAGGCCCCAGGAAGGATGAATCCTTTTAATGGAATACTCTCCCCAAATTCCCAGAATATAATTAATGTAATTTATAAAAAATTTTAGTTCATTTCCTCACCACCTCTTCTTGAAAAGCCTGTTGGAGGGAGGGAACCCCAGGCCTCTCTCAGGATAAGAATAGATTAAATGCATTTTGAAGCGTGTCCTCAGCAACACTCTTCTGTTCCATTCATTTTCTTTCTTTAAAAACATGCCATTGTGGGAAGGAGAGGAAAAGAGCACCTCTCAATGGAGTCGAGACCAAAATAGCTCATCTAATGAGGTGCTGGGGCCAGAGATTTAAACCCAGACAAGCAGAGCAATTCCACAGGAAAACCTAAAAATCCATCTCGGCCACCTGCTGAGTCTGGCAGAGCAGTGGGAAGCCGCTGAGCCACCATGCCCCAAAACCAGGGGCAGACACTGCTAGAGACCACAGCTGCTGAGGGTGGAGATAATCCATACTGAAAGTCCCAAGGACCTTACGGAGCACTTTGCTGCTGAGGGAATAAAAATTGCATCATCTGCTCCATTTACTGTTTTCAGTCAGTAATGAGTCTGGAGACACCAGAGGATGAGCAAGAGCGGTAGTTGGGCGTGAATCCTTCCTGCCCCAGGTGCCTGGAGCTTCAAGTTGTGGGCCCCAACAGCTGTGTGTGTGTGTGTGTGTGTGTGTGTGTGTGTGTGTGTGTCTGTCTGTCTGTCTGTCTGTCTGTCTGTGTCTGTGTGTCTCTGTGTGTGTGTATGTGTGTATGTGTGTATGTGTATGTGTCTGTGTGTCTATGTCTGTCTGTGTGTATCTGTGTGTGTGTCTGTGTGTCTGTGTGTGTATGTGTCTATGTGTATCTGTGTGTGTGTCTGTGTGTATGTGCTGTGTATGTCTGTGTGTGTCTGTCTGTATGTGTGTATGTGTCTCTGTGTGTGTCTGTGTATGTGTGTGTATGTGTGTATGTATCTGTGTGTGTGTGTGTGTGTGTGTGTGTGTGTGTGTGTATGAGGCATTTGGGGAGAATTTCCAAGGACCTGGGCCTGAAGTCCTTGCAACTTCAGGAGGTGCCTTCCTTTAGGGGACTTCACCAGTGTGGCCAGACAGCTCCACAAAAGGCGTAGGGTGAACTTGGCCCATGGTTAGAGGTGTAGCTCACTCTAGGCTATTGCTGCCCACTCACTGGCCTCAGTAGGCATTTACATGTGCCTGCATTGCCATTAAATAAATGCTGCCTGCTAAACTATCAGGTGCTGGGGGATGTCTTTCTGTACGCTGTGAATATATGTTGTTCCCATTGATTAATAAACAAGCTTCTTTGGCCTGTGGCAAGGCAGCTCAGAGGCAGGCGGGAAATCCAAGGAAAGAGGCAGGGAAGAGAAAGACAGAGTCTGGAGAGAGGCCAGCAGCCACCAGGAAAAGCAAGATGTGAAAGTACTGGTAAGCCACAGCTACATGGCAAAACAGATTAATAGAAATGGGTTAATTTAAGAGGCAAGAGCTAGCTGGCAAGAGGCCTGCCATAGGCCACACAGTTTGTAAATAACATCAAGCCACTGAGTGATTATTTTATAAGGGACTATGGGACCATGGGGCCAGGCAAGACCAGAGGAAACCTTCTGACTACAGTCAGGACCTGCGCCAGGACGGTTAACTCTCCTTCTGTGGCCCTAGGACAGGGGTCTGGTTCTTTCCCAGTCCGTTCTCACTTGCAGAATATCACAGACTTAGCCTGTAACATAAAAAATAAAGTGTGGACATTTGAGGAAATAAAACAAATGGGATTTTTTCTTATCTCTATTTTATGCTCTTTTTATTTCTTTTGCCAACACTCTTGGATCAAATCTCATTTAGGCAACATCAACAGTCATTTCACCTTCTCCCCCAATGCTGGCTCCAACGTCACTCGTCTGCTGCTGGCATCCCACTTCGACTATGCTGGTGGCCTCGATAAGATCTGGGACTTCAAGCTGCTCGTCTACATCACTGATGACAACTTGCTGTCTGGCAGGAGAAGTGCCAGGGCTCTTGTTGAAACAGGGACGGTGACACTAAGTGTAAAAGTCACTCCTCACCCGACCTCGATCGTCACCACAGCTGCCAGGGTAAGGGTCCGGGACCTGTGGCCTCCAGCCTTAGCACTTACAGCAATGGAACCTTTGACCCCAAAGTGTGAGGCATTTGTTTGGAAGGACCATTGATTAGCAGATCGAAATCTGTGTAAGAGCCTGGGCATGTAGAGCCACTGACCTCTCACAGTAGAGAACACAGTGTGGGGACATGTGGTAGACCAAACAGTGGCCACTGCGGTAAAGACTGCATCACTGAAGGAAAACACCTGAGGGAAGCAACTCCAATTCCAAAGGTTATTTTGGCTCATAGTTTGCTAAATTTCATACCACAGGCGGATGGGCCTATGGTGAGGGAAGGCAGGGCAGAGAGGCTGAGGGAGGGCATCAGGGAGAGAGAGGGTGAGGGAGGGCATCAGGACAGAGAATGTGAGGGAGATCACCAGGGCAGAGAGGGGGTACTGCAGGGCAAGAGGAGCATCACTGCAGAAAAGGTGTACTTTCTTTCTCCTCTCTCCACCTCTTTCCTATTGGAGACCAGCCCCAATCTATCAAAATGTTATTGGGAGGAGTGAGGAATGAAGAATATAGAAGGAGATGACAAGAAAGACAGAGACACAGGGTAGCTTTGGGAGGGCTCTGGGTCAATACTCAGTCGTCCTGAGTTTAATCATGATGGACTTTTTATACACCAGCAAGGGGAGGAGCAAAGGATCTCCCCCTCTCAAGGTCAGGGTATGAAGTACCAACAAGTGTAGACCCTTCAAAACACCTGGTGACCACACCTGTGGTCAAATCGGTCTATCATTCAGCCCTGTTGGGTAAAGCAAGCTCAGATTCTCTGACCTTGAGTAAGGCCTTACTAGGGAACCTCTGTGGGCCCACACAGATGTCCCCTTCTCTATAATATAAAGATTTCAAGTGAGGGTACAGAGCTTAGCTCTATGCAACTCTGCATCAGCTTTCCACTAAGAGCTTGCAAGTAGATGGAATAATCAGAGCTCTTGCTCCTTATGGCTGCTGTACCTCCTAGTAGAAGATGATCAAGATGGAATGGCCTTTTTAAATGGGTCCTGGGTATTTATAGCAATTTTAGCTGCCTCAAACCTATTTAAATTAATGAGCTTCTGATGTAACTGCGTCAAATAAATCAGTAAACTCCTAATATCAAATCTGAGGACTCCTTAGCATCACCATTAACATTACAGGTTAACATCATAATTCTAGTATGAATATTACTAAACATAATTACAATTACAATTCTCCCAAACTTATATCCAAAAGTAAACTCTTAATAGAACTATCTACACTTCATGAATTTTAGCAAACATCCAAAAGCAGTTTCTTAATAGAACCTTTTGCATTTCTTACCAACAAAACATAGGGTACATTAATACAGGCTAACATTATCCATATAAAAAACAAGAAATTTTTTTTCATAAAAATTAAAGAGACTGAGGAATATTAACTCCCCCTTTCTTTATATTTTTTTGAAGCTGCATCTTGAGCCTGGGTAGAAAATACAAACTTTTCTATTCCTACACAAAACTGTTCCATTTTTACACAAAACAGTTCCATTCCTGCACAAAACAGTTCATGAGTCACCACAGTTGGTAGAGGCATATATGCATACACAAAACAGTTTCATTTTTACACAAAACAGTTCGTAAGTCACAGTTGATTATGTGTGTGTGTGGGGGGGGGGCGTGAAATCAAAACTGTCCCATTACAATTGAACCACTCCTGTCCATCCCATTTCTTAAGTCTGAAAAGTTCAAAAAGTCAGTTCTGATACCAGTCTTAATGTTCCACTGAAAGCCCTGGACCAGGGCCTGGATTACCAGCTGCCCTGAAAGTTCTGGTATAGTTGCCCAAGTCATAATGAAGTGAAAAGCTCCAAATACGAACAAACCCACAACCAAACACGTGTCTCAGTTCCCTGGCCCGCTGGGTGTGTACCCCACAGGCATTCTCCTCTGGAGGCTTTATCTCTTGTGAAGCAGCCAAGGTGCCATGCACACTCCCTCCAGCTGCCCAATCAGCTCTCCGCCTGTGCTCTCCCAGGGTGTCCCTCACTCTGCTGTGGCTGCTGGGGTCCGAAGCCTCTGCTGCACTCTCCACGCCACAGCTGCTGTTCACGGTTTGCCTCTCCTGAGGCCAGGTGTCTCTGTTGGGCTCATCCTGGTCACAGAGTGTAGCCTCCAGCCATGTCAGTCCGGCTCTTGCAAGCGCGCTGGCTGACTGTGCTCTCTTCACTGAGGCTCCTTCTCGGCAGACCCTTGCTGTTCACCATGGCTCTCTCTGCATCTGTTGCCTGTGACTCAGTGATGCCCCTCGGGTCTCAGTGATGCTGATGCTAGGTCAGCGCCTGCTTCTGATGCCTCTGCTTGTGGTGGGGGCTTCTGAAGCCGATGCTTGTCCTCAGGCTGCTAAGTCCGCAGTGGCTGCTTGGTCCCGGACACTGCCCTTCCATTCCCCTCCCTGTCCAAGGCCCAAGGTTCCATGCCTGGGAAAACCTGCTCTTACCCTAAGTTACCTTCTACTAAGCCTAAGCTTTAACAATATCCTTATACCTAAAGCCTATATTTCTCAAACTTCAACAAAACTTTTATGACTTATTTATATTACAACTTGAGATCTAATTTAGGCCTGCATCCTTAACACTTATACATCTTTCTCAGACCTAAAAACAATCATAAACTCAAACCTTCGTGACTTGCTAGACCCTTGCAATTTTCTTAGCCTGTTCTTTAGGAGAGAGAGAGAGAGAGAGAGAGAGAGAGAGAAGGGAAGGGGGAGGGAGACTTCATACCACCTTCTGGCATCATATGTAGGAGACCAGCTCTGACCTGTTGAAGGGTTCTTGGGGGGAGAAGTGAGGAATAAGGAAGTATTAGATAGAAATACAGACAGATGATGAGAAAGACAGAAATACAGGATAGCTTCGGGAGGGCCCTGGGTCAATACCCAGTCACCTCGACTTTATTCATGATGGACTTTTTATACATCAGCAAGTGAAGGAGCAAAAGACCTCCCCCTGTCAAGGTCGGGGTATGAAGTACCAACAAGTGTAGATCCTTCAAAATACCTGGTAACTACGACCTTGGCCAAATCATCCTATTACGCAGCCCTGCTGGGCAAAGCAAGCTCGGAGTTTCTGACCTTGAGTCAGGCCTTACTAGGGAGTCCCTGTGGGCCCCCACACTTTCCCTCTGCTTCCCCTTCCCCCTCTCCATCCACATCCCTCTCCTCTTAGAAAACTGCCTGTGGATGGGGCTATCTGCTTCTCGGAGCCTTGCCAATAACTGGTGATGTTCACCTCTCTGTTACTGCAGTCAGTAGGCCCCAATGAGCTGGGTGGCTGTGGTGGCGCACACCTTTAATCCCAGCACTCAGGCAGCAGAGGCAGGAGGATCTCTATGAGTTTGAGGCCAGCCTGGTCTACAGAGCAAATTCTAGGACAGCCACGGATACACAGAGAAACCCTGTCTTGGGGGGAAAAAAAAAAGAAAGAAAGAAAGAAAAGGGGTAGACCCCGGTGAGTAGAGACTGTGGCAGCCATGTGTGGCTTTCTTTTGTGTAGCAGCAACCAAAGCACCCAACAGAACAACTTATGGTGAGGGCAGACTTAATTTGATTCACAATTCCATACAGCGTACCATGCTGCTTTGCCATGTACACTTGAAAGCAGTGGAGGAGGCCTCTTGCTTGATGACTCACAAAAAGCAGTTTTGGGAGGGGACCAGAAACCAGGTGTGACCTTGCAGGCACTCTCAGTGACCTTTTAGCTAGGCCTCAGCTCCTAAAATTTCTAGAACCTCATAAAATAGTGCTACCAGCTTGGGGAGCAAGCAGTTCCACACAAGAGCCTGAGGGGGCTTAGTTTTCAATTCATTCAATTAAAGCTTTCATGTGTTTTACATATGCTTGTATGTATATGTCTCCATGTCTGTCTGTGCACCACATGCATATAGATGCCCACAGAAGCCAGAGGAGGGCATGGGTTCCCTGGAACTGGAGTCACAGATGGTTGTGAGTCATCTGATGTGGGTGCTGGAAACCAAACCTGGGTCCTCTTCAAAGCAGTAAGTTCTCCTAACTGCTTAACCACCCATCTCTCCAGGCTTTTCCTTTTAGATTTTTATTGCAATTAGTTTGTTTGTTTGGGGGGGGATGTACATGCATGTCCTACATGTGTGCCACAGCTCACCTGTGGGAGTCAGAGGACAACTTGTAGGTATCCGTATTCTCCTTGTACCAGGGGAGGTCTAGGTCATCAGGCTTGGCAGCAAGCTCCTTTACCCACTAAACCTGTGGGAGTTTCATACTCAAACCATAACAAACCCTGGCGACTTCCACTATGGGGCGAGCTGGCAGGCTATCTTTAGGAAGAAACTGTCAAGTCTCTTAGGTTTACAGCCTAACCCACCACGCTATTTCCAATTCTGAAGTCTCCATGACTTGTTTGTTATCTGTCTCCCACTCTAGGAAGCAGATTCCGAACTTGAAGTTTCCCTGTGATCACAGCCCACTCATCTGGCAGTGGCAGCTGTGTCGAGTGAACACTGAAAAGCCTACAAGGTGTAAAAACAAAACACCAGCATTCATGGTTCCTGCCTTCCCAGTGAGAGACAATGGCTAAATTAGTCCCTGGACTGTGCTGTGCTGTAGCAGAGGAATAGCTAGTGGACCTTTCAACTCTGAGGAAGGGGAAGTGATCGCATTTAAGTCAGGAGCCAATCTGTAGTTCCCTAATTGTTCTGGGTTTTGATCCAACGGATGTAAACAAGGACAGGGTTGGGAGGAGCAGAACTATAGCACACAGATGTCAGGCTTGCAGGACAGGAACTGAGCAGCCCAGACACCGCACACCGGCAATGCTAAATGTCAGAGATGCTCCTGCCCACTCATTCTTCCCCTCTCTGTCCTTCAAGCCCAGGATCACCTACCAGATCCTCAGGGAAAACACGTATTCTCCATCAGCATGGTACGTGCCATTCATCATCACTCTGGGCTCCATGCTGCTTGTGGGTCTTCTGGGGTCCCTGACGGTCCTGCTGGCCAAAACCGTCTACAGACATTGCTCCTCCATGACCAGGAAGGACAAGAAACAGTTGTAAGTTCTGGTGGGCTGGGGCTTTCCTTTTTATTTTATTTTGGTTTTGTTTTGCTTTTTGTTTGTTTGTTTGTTTGTTTTTTGTACAGGGCAGGGTACCTGGCTTGAAGGAGAAAATAGGAATGAAGGAAAGAAATTCTAATTGCCTTGGGCCTGGGTACCCACTTTGTCACCCATGGGGCCAGGACACCTGTCCTTCATCTTATTCTAGCAACCTGCCCTGGTCCTGGTGGGATCTGGAGAAAGTGGGCTGTCACCGTTCCAGTGACCTTGCCCTGGATAAACGCCGCTGTGCGCGGCTGTGGAATATGATGTGTCTTCTCTGCGGTGTTTATGGGCAGGGATGGAGTTAGAGGAAGCGAAACAACAGCAGCAAAAGCAGACGAGGAAGTTAAACTTTGGGTAGCAGTGGCTCCCTTAGAGCTGTTAGACCATCCTTGTTCTCTTGCACGGAACCCCATCTCCCACCCTCTTGGAAACACACGAATGGAGTTTATCTCCCTGCTCTCACTTGCTCGGGCATATGATTCTTATGAGAACCTGTGTGTCACAGACTTCTCCTGGGGCCGGATTCATTTTCAGTAGCTCTTACAGCCAGGGCTCAATGGCTGTGAGCCAGGTGTTTGGAACCTGAGCGCTGTCACTTTCTGGGCACATGAGAACTCTCTCGTCATCAGTGTCCTCTGTAAGACAGCCACCTAAGCCACTTGCACAAAGGGCTCCGGGTGGCGTTCCTGACACCGGTAAATGCTCCGGTTGTCACGGCAATGTTTTTGAAGTTGCTGCGGTTTTAACTTCACAGCCAAGACCCAGTGAGCTCAGGATTCTAGACCCCAAATTTAATCATATGCCCAGATGTCCTGGGAGCTGGATGCCCTGACTTTCAGGACCCCTCAGTGGCAAAAAGGAATAAATGATAAGACTGAAATAGCTCTTAAGAGTATTTGAATATTAACTATAACTATCAAGTAATTTTGAGTGTCAGTATGTAAGATGGTATAAAAGAAAGACATTAGTTTAAAGATATGCATTGCATTCTACCATATTTATTGGAGAAGGTTTGTACTATTGACAACCTTGACTTCAGGTAAGAAATCCTTCAGCATCTGCTGAAATTTAAAAAAAAAAAATGTTTGCATTCTAGTTACAAATTGACTTTGAGAAAGATAGAAAAAAACCCACCCTGTTTCTAAAAGGGTCATATTTAAGCACATAAGGATGATGGTGTTACATATCCTTAAAAGATGTAAGCCAGGAGGTGGTGGCACATGCCTCTAATCCCAGCACCCGGGAAGCAGAGTCAAACTGGAGGCCAGCCTGGTCTACAGAGTGAGTTCCAGGAGAGCCAAGGCTACACAGAGAAACCTTGCCTTGAAAAAAGAAAAGAAAACAAAGGTGGGGGAGGGTAGACATTGCAACATAGATGAAAATTATAACCAGATGGTAAATATGTATCTTGAACCTGGTTGTTCCTACTCAGATTCTAAATAGAGTTTCAGCATGGCCCAACCTAAAAGAGAAAATAGCTAGAAATTCAGACTCAGACTTGTACTCTCTGAAAGTTAGTTGTACTATGTGGCAGCCAACACTTGTCAAATAGTGAGGAATAAAATTAGAATGAAGGGATTCAAGGTTGTATGAGAAGGGCATTAGAGACCCAGTCCAGCTCTTCCATGTTCCAGGAAACTAAAGTTAATTGTTGGCCTCCAGCCTCCCCGCTGTGAGCCACACCACGTTCTCTGCTCAGGTGGCTACTGGGGAGAAGAGTGCCTAGATAAGGGGCCGGTGGTTCCCCAAAGTCACTGTGTTCCCTGGAGTTGTATGAAGCAAGAGTTTCGAACTCCTAGACCCTTCGTAATTCCAGGCTATCACTTGTCAAGCTGCTTGGTTTAGAGCAGGCCTAGTGGCCAAAACTTTTTGGTTCCTCTCCCCAGCTCACTTTCAAACTAGTCCCCAAATCCCAAGAATCCAGTTGCCTAGAGGCCCTGTGTTACCATGTGTGGGCATTTATGTGGAATATTGTCCAGTCAATTAATGCTCATCCTTTCCCCCATAGGACGAAGAAAAGAGGTATGTATAGTGCATGTTCTCTTGGTTTGTTTGCTGTCCACTGTTTGCTCTGTTATATTATGTTAAAGGGTTCAAATCTGGGTTCAGTCCGGGAATATTCATGTCTTGAATGAGGAAGCAGAGGGTATCTGTGCTTGAGTAGGGAAGGTCAGGGTGCAAGGTGCCTGTCCTCGGCCCACTCACTTTGACCTTGCCTACTTTCTACACATGTTCATCTCTAGTCAACTCAGTTTAGTCATCTAGGTATATCTCCTGTGGAACCCAGTTCATCCCTGACAGGAATCTCTCCACGTGTTACACAGCATTTCCTGACTGCTGCCCACGGACAGGGTGACAGCTCCCAAGGACAGTGAGCACTCTGTTTTGTACAAGTGCCACTTCTGAATGAGCAGTGACATTTTCTTCTCAGATTGTAATGGATTTGATCATTTTTCACAAAATTCATTAGGTCAGACTAGTTAATTGCTAAATTGAGCAAGATCTACTGAGAGCCCAGGCCCAAGGAGATATGTCATTCTAATGCTGGCCAAGAGCTGTAACCTTAGGGCTACTCGAAGCTATGGGGAGAGACAAGACATAGAATTGGAAATTCTATGCATTTAAGAAATGTTTGCTTAAGTCACTCCACCCATAGAGGTGTGTTGATATGCCCAAAGCATAAAAGCAGGGTTCAAATTTTGATTATAATGGCTATTGATCATATGGAGAGAGTACCTTTATGGAAATGTCATGACTGCCTCCAATCCTCTTTTTTTAAGTAGATTTATTCATTTTATTATGTGTGACAGTTGCCCTGCATGTGTATACGTGTACCATATGCATGCTTGATGCCCTCAAGGCCAGAAGAGGACATTGGAGCCCCTGAAGTAATGGATAGCTGTGAACCCCCATGTGGGTGCTGGGGATCAAATCCGGGTCCTTTGCAAGAGCAACACATGCTTTTTACCACTGAGCCGTCTCTCGGGCCCCAAACTCAATCACTTTTAACCAAGATATAGGGAATGAAATCCCTTGCTATGAACATATAGTCTTTCTTATCTCTAAATCCATTTGGGAGCTAATTTCCTAGGACCAGTATTAATAATCTGGAAAAAAACATTTTAAAAATTAAATTGTGTGCTGTGCATAAATGTGTATGTTTTCTGAGAAAACTGAAAGCTGTCAGTGAACAGGTCTGCAGAAAAGAAAAACAAAAGCAAAAACAAAAAACCCCTTTGCCATGTCTGTAAGACTGGAATCAAAGCCTGCTCAGAGAATCCCATCGTGGGGGTGGCACTTCAGGTTGGGGTAGCATCTAAGAGGCTCCAATGCTGCGCTGTTCTTTCCCCTGCAGACATGAAGAACGTGACGGGAGAGGCTGCGGTGGTGAGTGTGGCCAGCCGCAGGAACCTTGCCTGCGCGCTGGGCGCTGGGCACTGGTACCCAGTCTCTGCTACAGGGTCCAGGCTCTGGGGGAGTGTTTATGCATTCTGGGAGGCTGCATGGCAAGCTCCTGATAGGATTCCTCCCCTCACTGAACATGTCTGCTGATGTATTTGCTCTGGGTTTCATAAATATCGAGTAGTAGTGTTTATTACCCATACCAGCTCTCCACAAAAGTGCTTTGAGGAGTAGAGCTTAAGGGCTGGAGCTGGCCTGCAGCATTCTACGGGATCTAATTTCTCTTGACTTTCCCACAACCTTGCAAAAAAGTGATAGAGAAGATGCAAAGTTTTGGGTCTGGGATTGGCTCTACCTACCCCTTAGCCTGACCCTGAGGACCCCCAAGCCTTTGGGAGCCTTAGATTCCTCACTATGAAATGGGAGGGAGGATAGCCACCCTGAGACAGTGGCTAGGGAATCTCTTGAAAACTACCACATGTCTCACTCTGTGACGGGCTCATCCTGGCTAGAGCCACATTCACACTGTCTTGCTTCGCTGTCACTGTGATACAATAGCAAGGCAAGTTAAGGTGATTTATTTGGGGCTCACAGTTCCAGAGGATTCAAGTCCATGGCCATCAGGGTGGGGATATGGCAGCAGGCAAGCATGGCACTGGAGCAGCAGCTGAGGGTTCACATCTTGAGATACAATCATGAGGGAGGAGGAGGGAAAGGAGGATGGGAACGGAGTGGGCTCAGGAAACCTGAAAGCCCACACCCAGGGACACACCTCCTCTAGCAAGGCCACGCCTCCAAACAGGACCAAGCAACCAAACACGGGGGCGGGGCATTCTCACTCATCTCATTCTCTTCTGCTTTCTCTTACTGAGAAATACACTCACTGGGAAGGGATAAAACTCTGTTTCCCTTGATAAACCTTATGATCTAGGACATATACTTTTGGTGAGTATGGATCATGAGGGGGTTAGTGCAGCTAACGGGGGATCTCCGCTTTACACTCAACACCTTAGTGCTGCTACTCTCTGGTTAGTCTACTAGTAGGAGGAAGGAACAGCCTTGGACCTCCAAGGTCTTACCATCTAAAAGGAGCTCCTAGGGTGCCAGGGGGATGCCACCCATAGATGGCCTTAAAACTGGGCCACATTGATCTATTAAATAAATAAATCCTCATGACGTAAAACATGAGGCTTCTTAGCTGATCTAGTAGATGAAACACATGGAATTCTCACTTCTTCCCTTCGGCATCCAGGAGCTGTGGGGAAGTGACGAGGTGGTGTGGTAAGGAAAAGGCCATATTGAAAAGCCCACTGTGCTCTGAGTAGCTTTCTTGCCAGCATGCTGGGGATCTCAATTCTGTCACTTTTTTCAGGGTATGATATAGTGAAAGACTGTCCATGGGTTGGGGACAAGCACATCTGCAGAGCTTGTATCTGGAGGATGGCACACAGCACCAAACATGGAGGGTGGGCCTCAGGGAAGCTAGCGGCCGCACTGTTGGCTTTGGGGGCAAGGTAGGACCTGTGGACCTATTTCCAAGTCTGCCTGGCACCGATGCTCTGAAATGACGTAAATCTTAGCCCAAGGCACTTAGCATTTGGCTCTTGCTTTACATACTTTAGATAGCATTTTCTCAGGACTCTTTTCTAGCCCACAGGTCTGGATTAATTGCTCACCATTGTGTCCCATAGCATCTGACATCTCCTATCATAGCCATCTATCTTTATTGTAGTCCCTGTTTGTCAGTGGCAAACTATGTAGACAGACCTACCTGGCTGGGTCACCGTAGTGTCCCTAACATATGGCCCAGTGCCTGCTGAATAAATTAGTGTCTCAAAGCCTTGAGCAAAGAAAGCCAGGCACAAACGCCTGTAATCCCAGCACTTTGGAGGTAGAATCAAGAAAAGCAGGGGGTTGAGGCCAGACTTAGCTACATACCCAGTTCAAGACTATCCTGGGCTTAACCTTGTCTTAAAAAATAATAATGATACATGAATAAAATGAAATAGCGAAAGAAACCCTGAGTAGGGAGCTGGGCTGTGAGGATGGGGACCTTGCCTGGGGAGAGCCACAGCATTGTGCTCGAAGCAGTCTCTTTTCCTTAGGAATCTGTCCAGATGAATACCGTCTTTGATGGAGAAGCCGCAGACCCAGGTAACCAAATGGAAATGCCACCTATGAGGACGCTTTGTGCTCTGGGACAGAAGAGTTGGGAACAGTGTCCAGTATCCTTCTTTTAACCACTGGTCAGCATCTTGGCCACATTGTCTGTAATGTGAGGCTGACCCTTTCAGACTCTAACATGGCTAAGCTGAGTGCTGGGTGCAGCTGGGACAGACTTGCAGACCCAGTGACGGACACCTCAGTGCTTCTACCTGCCGCTGCTCTCCAGGGTGCGATTTCTTGCCTCACTACCTATTAACAAACCCGTTTAGGAAACTAGTGAATTCAAAAAGGCGTATATTTCCCCCTGCTCACTGGTCCTGTCTCACCTCTGGTCCTTCTTGCACGCTTCTAATGCCATCTTATTAGTAGCAGAAGTGGCAAGTTTGGCTCCCCCACCCCCAGATCAGGGCCAAGAACTTCTTGGTTGACATGATGAACATAAGGTAAAGCTGGCCTCCAGAGCTCTCATTGCCCCCTGAAATCAGCTCCAAATTTAGCTCCTTTACACACATCCCTCCACTTACAAAGGCTCAATTATAGACGTGAATAAAGGGAAGGAAACCAAATTCAGGAGGCAAGTGTGCTGGCTTCCTGCCACCCTCACATGCAGACGGCTCAGTCCTCGGAAGGAGGATGGCTCCCTTCCAGTGAGAAGCTGCTGCTGTTGGAATTAAATTTCCCTCTATTATTAGGTACTTGTTACCATAATGTGCCCACATTAGCATAAGTGCTGGTGGGACCCTGAGCTGAGAGCGGCCACTTGTGTTCTACTGCTGTGGCAGGAGCCGAGCTTGCCTCAAAACCAGGCTTACAAGGAGAAAGGCAGGAGAGACTTGTGCAGTTCCTATGTGCTAGAGAGAAGAAAGGGGGAAGAAGCAGCCAACTGGCCCAATGTGAACAAACACATCAATTAGTGGCTGCTGGCTCCAGCACAATGAAAATGGCTGCTCCCCTCATCCCCGGCAGGACCAGATCAGTGTCTACACTCTGCCAGCCAGACATAAATAAGAATCAAAGGCTCCCTACCCTTACTTACTGAATTCCTTTGTATGGCCAGATTCAAGGGTCTTTTAAAACAAGATAAATCAGATCCTAATGGGTAACCCCGCTAGAAATTGAACCCAATTTATTTGATAGCCTAAGAAACTTGAAATTTACATGGCCCCCTCATCTTGCAAGTGAGATAGGTGGTGTCAGAGCCTGCCGGGCTCCCGATCCAGAGAAATATTGTGCATCTGAGCTGCACAGCTTCGGGGAAAGGCTGGCCTGGGAAGACCGTCTGGGTGCCTCACAAGCTGCTTTCCATTGCAGGGGTCACGTCTTCCAGCCTCCTGCATCCTTCCCCATCGCAGGGAGGGGGTCACGTCTTCCAGCCTCCCGCATCCTTCCCCATCACAGGGAGGGGGTCACATCTTCCAGCCTCCCGCATCCTTCCCCATTGCAGGGAGGGGGTCACGTCTTCCAGCCTCCCGCATCCTTCCCCATCACAGGGAGGGGGTCACGTCTTCCAGCCTCCCGCATCAGTCGTCAGAACAGAACAGGGAGAAGTGGGGACAAGCAGAGTTGGTTTACTTATTGTTTTATACGATTGCTGTATTATCTGCCCCTAGTGACCGGGGAAATATATGAATTCAACTCAAAAACTGGTGCCAGAAAGTGGAAAGTCCCATTAACCCAACTGCCCAACTGGCCTGAGCCCAGTCCCCAGCCCAGAGGCACAGCTGCAGAAGGACCACTCACTAAACATGCAGAAAAATAACAGGTGTGTGTTTGCTAGCCCCCCACGAGGGACAGGGGCAAGCCTCTGTGTGTGGGGGTGGAGTGGGGGGTGAGGGGTGGGGGTGGGGGGAGCACCTCAACTTAAGTTGCACAGGGACAGTAGCCATGCTTGGCACAGGTGCACAGATGTGGCTGGATGGACTCAGACATCCAGGATCCTAAGTAGGGTATCTGCCAAAACATCTAAAATATTTCTGAAATGGGATTCAGTCACACAACAGGCTTTTTCTGAAATGACACTGGAAATTTTTCTCTCTAGGCTCCCGACTACCTGGGCGCATCTGCTGGAGTGCTGACGTTTGAGTGCCAGCTGCCCGTGTGTCCTCTGCAGCGGCGGCCAGGAAGCCCTCTCAGAGTAGCCTTCCACTTTGTCTCCCTAATACACCTGTCCTTGTGTTCACTTTTAAATACAGCTCAACACTGTACACCTTTGTGAGTGAGCATGAGTTGTTTTTGAAAGACATAGAGGGTACACAGTGAGCCACTCATTTGGGAAGAAGAAACATGATGTTATTATTTTTATTTCACTTTAATTTTATTTGAATGTATCTTGCAATTGACAAACCATGCAGCTCTGAGGTGTTCACCCTGTTAACATGCAGTCTTCTCCGGGAGACAGCCACAACCCTCTATCATTGTAGATTAGTTTTGCCTTTTAAAAACTCATAGCAATGGCTTTCCCCGATTAGCGTCATGTTTGGGAGGCCATCACGCTACACTCACAACAGTAATCCTGTTCTACTCTATCTGATGCCCTCGCATGACTTTGCCCCACTTGGAGGAGGCAGAGCCATGGCTGGACACTACCACGGCATTCTAAGGTGGTAGCTCCAGTGTACCCTCAAGCATCAAAGACTGGGAGGTCCAGTTGCTCTGCCTCCTTACTGACTCCTGGAATGGTCAGTCCTTTTCATTTTAGCCATTCTGATGAAGATGACCCATGAAATGAAACACATTTTCTCAAAGTTGGAATAACATCAGTCTGAAATAATACAGCTCCTGCCTGCTTCTTCCCACGCCCTGCCATGGGCTCTAAATGTATATACACTGGGAAGTGCGGTCCAGCAGGAGACCTTAAACTCCCTGTTGGCCTGAGCACCTAACTAAAAGTGATAGAGTGGGACCGCACAGAAACTTTACAGCAGAGGCCCAGAAGAGCTGCTTGGGCCTCAGTTGCCCTCTATGTCTCGTTTCTCAGCTGCTGAGACCTTAGTTCAGTAACTGCCAGGAAGAATCATCAAGGAGCCATCACAGCAGCACTCCATCCCCCACTGAGGAGGCCCACAGCAGAATCCCCACAGGAGACCTCGGACAGCTCGGTGGCCGGTTTTCTGCACACCTGATCCAGTGCAGCCTCTCTGGAAAGTCAGACGTTGGTGAAACTGACTTAGCTGGAGACGTGGTTTATTAATGACACTGTGCTGCCAGGGAACTCCCTTGAATGGGTATGAATCTTGCAAAAGAAGTGGAGCCATTCCCTTGTAGGGTTAAAGTGGTGACGTGGCAGATGACCAGTTTCAGAATTTGGACATCTGCGGAGCCCCAACTAAAATGCCTTGATCTTCAGAAGTCCTCAGTGTCCCTGCAAGGGAAGGGAGCGAAGCTCCTTGAAGACATGAAGGCCGCTGCGGCCTTCCTAACTGCTCACAAGCCCACTGAAGATGTTAGAAGGTTGGGGGTGGGGGGGCTCTCATTCCTTCTATAGGATGGCAGAAGACTGGGCTTTGAGAGGACTGAGCACTGTGTAAAGAGCTGACTGTCCCAGGTGAGCCCAGAGGAACCCAAGGAGTGGCCAAGGCAGCGAGGAGCTTCAGAGGAGAGCTCGGCCCTCCCCATCTCCTTCTGCACATGTAGCTGTGGGATATTCCCTTACACTATGTGATGTGTCACTGTGACTGGTTAAATAAAGAAGCTGACTGGCCAATAGCTGGACAGGTAGAAGTTAGGCGGGACTGCAGATAAAACGAGAGCTCACAGAAAGACGAGGAGTCTCAGGGTTTCGAGCAGATGCGGAGGAAGCAGGGGATAAACTCGCTATACTGAGAAAAGGTACTGAGCCATAGGGCAGAGCATAGGCAAGAAATATGGGTTAACTTAACATGTGAGAGTTAGCTAGTAACAAGCCTGAGCTATTGGCCAAATGTATATAGTTAATATTAAGTCTCTTAGAACTGACTGACTGCTGGGGAAGAAAAGTCCATCCACATGTAGCCTTGTGAGGCCCAGGGCTAAGAACCCATGGAGCTGCCCTTCAGTCTACCATGACTGACTGACTGCAGGGTGCTGATGAGCTGGCCCCTTTCCGGTTTTTAAAAATTAAAGCTGGATTAACCCAAGCATGGAATCTCCTTTGTAACCCTGAGCCATTTGTGTGTGTGTGTGTGTGTGTGTGTGTGTGTGTGTGTGTGTGTGTGTGTGTGTACATGTACTTACTGAGGAGCCTTTGTCAAAAAGTAGTGGAGATGGCCCAGTGGAGGACCAGCCTCAGGCGACTGGGTCACCACAATGTAATTACATCCCCACATGGCTCTTCTGTGGATAAATCCTGTGTCCAGTGGACTTTTTAATCTGTACCCTAATAAACAGTCAGTGAGGTGGGGGGGAAGGAGTCTCGGAACACCCAGACCTTCCTGTGTGTCACCTGGGAGAGGACAAGCTATAACGCGTGCTGTAAGGTAAGAAGCCAACTCTGAAAATGATCCGCTCATAGAGGTGTGGTGGTGAGTGCCTGTGTCCCGTTCCTCAGGAGGCTGAGGGTGCAGTAGTCTCGTCAGCTGGGATGCCGTGATGGAGCTGTGGAGAAAGAGGAGATGGAGACAGAGAGCCTCTTAACATCTGAGGATATTTTTGCTGCACCATTTAAAAATTAATTGCTGTCGTTGGAATATAAAACAATGTGTTTCGGCACTGGGGCGGGTGAGGCAGAAGAACACTCTGACTTTGAGGCCAGCCTGGGCTAAGCAGTGAGTTCAGGCCAGTCTAAGCTAGAGTGTCAAAGTCTGTCTTAGAAACAAACCAAACCAAAGAAGCCACAGCTGAGTCTGGCATTCCGTGTGTCCTTGTCCTTTGCTCCAGTTCATCCCTCATCCCTCCCCGACCCTAGTCCTCCCTCTCCTCAGACTCCCTTCTTATCACATGGATCCTTTTTGAGAACTGAGTGAGGGCTGCAGGAAGTAGACGTGGACCAGAGCGGTATCTGAAAGTGAGGCCTTGAGCCTGAAGGGTGCTAAAGGTGGGAAGAAATCAAAGCTGGGGACAGTTTTGAGCATGGCTCAGAGCACCGAGACTGCCCTTCAATACGTTTCAGGCAGCTCTTGTGCAGTCTGGGGTGGCGAGCACAGGGTGTAGCAGGCACTCAGCAAACGTTTGTAGGACTGGGCTGAATCAGGGAGACTTCCCGTTCATCTTCTACCCACATGTGGCAGCCACAGCTTCTCTGTCTAGACAAACAGCCCCGACTCAGCTAACTGCCAGCAGGTGTCTACAAAGTACTTGGCACTGTTGTAAGCTGTGAAGACTTAGCTCAGACACATAGTGAGTGAGCAGCGTCCTTTGGGCTTATATTCCAGCAAACAATGGCTGGGCCGTACATAAAGACACATGTGGCCCACCACCTTCCCGGCAAAGTACCTCGTTAGCCACGGTTCTCAGCCCAGGAAGCTGCCTGCTGAATATCAGTGGGTACCCCGCCGCTGCGGGCATCACAGTCTAGGCTGCTGAATCTGACAACGGGCCTAAACGGGTCTAACTGAGACCCCGTCAGGGACAAGCAAAGGCACACCAGTGATGGGTGCCTTCTGCTGAGGGAAGCAGCCCCGGACCAAGGCAGCCTGAAGACGCCGTCTTATTTCCACTGCATGGTGGCCGACTCCCTCAACAGCCTTTGCTTTTCTCTTGAGGCTTAGTCTTTACTTTTACTGAGATGATAAGGAAACATTCGATACATAAATATGATCTAAAATTTGCCAGTGTACAGACGATATGTCGGTGGCAGCAAACACCCTTGAGAAGGAAAAGCAGGTCTGGAGGTGGACCGGAGACTACTCTAGAGGGATGCTCGGGGAAGGCCCACACAGTGAGGGGAGACTCTGACAGTGGATGTGTAGGCCGGACCGTTCAGGTATCTGAGAAAAACCTTCCAAACAGCAAGCGGACAAGGGCAAGGCGAGGGGTACCCGTGGAGGCAAGCATGTCTGTCTGTCTGTCTGTCTGTCTGGGGTGTTGGGGACATGATGTCATTGGTATGCAAAGAGGAGAGCTCATGATGAGGGCCTTGTGGCTTTAACTTTTATTCCGAATGTAATGGAGACCAGACTGAAGGAAAACAGGGACATACAGAGAAGGAGAAGACAGTGTTGGCTTGGGCCAGCAGCAGCAACAGGGACACTGGAAATAAGTCCTTGGTTCTCCTGGGCCCTGTTCCTGTGTCTGGTAAAGGTCTCCGGCAGAGCTGGCTACTCCCTTGGTGGGGTCTCCACTGGTTACTGTAAGTCACACAACCGCTTCCCAGAGGGCAACAGCCGCTGTCTAGCTGGCATAGCCCTTGCTTGGGGATGAATTAGCAGTGTTTCTGCCACACTGAATTCCCTGCCAAGATGCTCATCAATGCTACCAAGAAGCAGAAAGATGAGCTTGGGCAGGGCTTCTTGGTCAGAATTCTGCACCAGGGCTCCTTACACAACCCAAGGAAGCCGCCTGTTGGATCAGCTCAGTTCAGAGAACTGTTGTGCTTGCCTGCTTCCCACCAGGGACCTGAGCTACAGGAGGAGGCTTGCTCACTTTCTACACGTCTGTCTCTACGTAAGTTTCTGGGAAAGTAGCACTCCTGTCCTTCTGTCTCCATGGGTGCATGTCAGAACGTACACTCCTGGTTTGGGGTTTGGAAAACCCAGATTTCTTTTCTAGAAGTCTCGAGACTGAGGAAAGCAAGCCATGCTCACGAGCCTTGTCATCTTTCTGCATGGTTCCCAGAGAAGGAAGCCGGCCCAAACGTGGAGCAAGCACCCTGCCGTCCAAATCCTGGACCTCAGCACACTCAAGCCTTTAAGTTGCTGTGAAAGAGCCTGTGGCTGCTGTGGCTGCCACGGAGCTGGCACAGCCGACAGCGGGCAGCTGGTTAATCTCATTTGTAGGCAAAGCTCACAAGAGCTCACGCCTGCACTGCCCATCACATTTGCTCACGCAGCCAGAGCAGACTCCAGCTGGCTCGCTAAGGGGCCTTTTAAAAGTAACAGTTTTATTGTGGCTTAATTCACGTATCATAGTATTCAGTGTGATTTACTGTATTCACAAGGTTGTGCAATTAGCACAATTTAATTCCCAAATATTTTCTCATACTTATGTAGAGGCATCTCCTATCCCTGGGCACTGACACCTGCTAATCATCTTTCCGTCTTATGGATTTGCCTATTAAGGTATTTCATATAAGTGGAACCCTACTGTCCACATCCACCTGCGTACTTCACTCGGCACATTGTAGGTACGTCAGTACTTCATTACTCTTACTGGCTGCATAATAGTTCGTTGCATGTACGCAGCACGTATTTATCCATTCATCAGTTGGTGGGTATTTATTTTGGTTGTTTCCATCTTTGGGATATAGTGAATATTTCTGCAATGAACATATCCTACAAGCGTTTGTGTGGACACAAGTTCTCATTTATTTGGGGTATATATCTAAGAATGGAATTAACGGGTCACACAGTCACTGGGACCTGTAAGAGACACTGTCAGATTGCATCCACGGTAGCTGCCCGTCTCACATTCCTCCCAGCAGAACATGAGGGGCTTGTAAGAATTTTAAACAGATAGCCCAGTGTGGCACTTGGCCCTTCCCATACTCCATCCACTCCGCTGGAGGGCCTGGGCCTGGTCTGGAGTCCTCTGCTCAGCCTAACAGAGCGCCCTAGCCACAGCCTGGCTTGCTCTAGAGCAGTCTGCAGGCCAGGCCGGCGGGGCAAACCTCTGGACTGCTGTGGCTAATGAGCTAGGCCTCTACCCCCCGCCCCCGCCCACCTGATTGCTGACCCTCACAGCTTCTCGGAGTCTGAGGTTCATCTCTTTAGTGCCGATGAGAAATTGAAGAGGGGCGAGTGTGCTCAGGAACCGCGGAGCCAGGGAGCCAGCCGAGCTGTGTCTCCTCTGCCGGACAGGAAAGGCTCAGCTCTGGAGGCCTTTGACTCCGCCCAGCCCAGCCCTTGGCTTGCGGTGTGAAAAGGAAACGTGTGCTCTTTTCTGTTTTGCTCCTACCCGCTGTCTGCGTGCAGTCTGTCCTTACCGCCTGCACCGCCGGGTCTCTCCCCGCGCCGAAGGGGAGCAGTTACTCGAGTCGGCCAGCAGGGGCACTGTCCTCTTGCCCGGCCGCTGCCACTGTCTGATCCGGACCTGCCTCTGGGAAAGTCTTCCCAGCTGGGTCGCTGTAGCTCAGGAGGTTGGTTCCGGGGCCTGTGGCCTCACCACCCGCAGAGAGCAGCTCCAGGCACCCACCGCCAGGACCTTGTTACCTCCTCCCGGAAACCGCAGCAGCTACGAGGGTGCTGGGAACCAGAAATGTCCAAACCTGGAGCTCCACCCACAAGTGGCCTTTTCCAGGAGGGCGGCAGGACAGTTATCATGGCCTCTTGCAAGCAAGCTGTGGCTGTTGACCTGTTGACCGAGGCGGCTCCCAGCTGGGCAATCCGCAAGTTAATCAGTACCGACACAAGTAAAGGGTTCTAGTCAGCCGCAGTGACCCCTTGGGGTCACATGGGAGATAGCCTGCGCATCAGATATTCACATTATGATTCACGGCAGTAGCAAAACTACAGTTATGAAGTAGCAACAAATGATTTCACGGCTGGAGGGGCCATCGCAGCACAGGGACCCGTGCTAAAGAGTCGCAGCACTTGAAGGTTGAGAACTACCCGGCGAGAGAGCTGCGGAAGGCCTCCAGCTGGCAAGGCGAGGATCAGAAGAAAAGCAGCCGCACGCTCGGTTCTGGGTGTCCTGAAAGGGTTGAAAGAGGCTTTGACAGGGCTAGGCCACCAGTGCCACTGACGGGAGACAGAGCGGGAGGAGAGACCTGAGGCAGGGGCTGTGGCCGGTGGCCTGGAGCCCCTGCTGGGTCCTTCCCACTCTGCCTGGAGCGGGGCTGCAGGAGCAAGCACAACTCTGCTCTCTCAGGCAGGGCTAACAAAGGGCAGCCGAATCACAGGGTTTCTCAAGAAATAAAAATTCCTAGCACACCCCTGGGGCCTTGGGGAGAAAAACTGACAACGTGTTGATTGAAAACAGACCTAGCGGATGCTGCGTTTCGGTGGAAGGCCTGGATCTCACAGGTTTACAGCGACACCTAGTGGTCCTCGGAGGTACCTGCCACTTCCTCGGCAATGGCGAAACTGGAGGGTCACAGAGAGAGACATCCAGTCAAGGCCCAGATCCTGCAATGCCCCACCCTCGTGGAACATGCCGCACTCCCAGGGGAGGTCCAAAACTGCCTTTCCCGGCATTTACCCAGGAGCTGTGTATGCCTGGCACAGCAGAGATGTTCTGCAATGGTCATTATCATTTATTAAATATGGCTAAGTGTACTTGATGGTGACACCAACAGACTTCCCACCAGGAGATGCTTTACTGTTGAATTGTGTGTTCAGAACATAGAATGATTGTGCTCCCATATCAGATCAGATCGACTTACAAAGGAGAGCTGGACGTCTTTCAAAGTAATAGCACGCTAATGAGTCTGTCTCCTGTCTTGCCTCCCCTCACGTCACTTACACTGGCTAATCTGAAGGCTTCTTGGGGGCAGGATATGTTTGCTCAGTGTTAGCTCAGCATCTGTAACACTGCTGCTACTCAAAGAATGATGTCTTCACCGAGGGACTTTGGCTCCTGATGAAGCAGTTCACAGACATAGGAGGAAAGTCAAATAAGCTTGTCTCCTGGGATGAGCTAGAGCATGCTAGACTCCCAGAAGAATTAATCAGACCAGGGAGGCCCTTGCCAGGCCCCACCATCAGCCCAGTTCTCATTCATGGACGAGGTTTGTTTCTTTGGCTATAACAGGTCAGAGCAGCATTTCTGCACTCCTGTGACAGGCTTATTAGCTACTTGCAGAGGTTCCAGAGTGAGTGGGGGCATAGCCATGCTTGGATGACCCACTGGAGACCGTCTTTATAATGAAACTGTGAGCCTCTGTCAGCCAGTCTCACTGAGAAATATCTGCAAGCCACACTTTGTTCAAGTTTTGTTGGCCAAAATTGTGTTAACTAGGCTCACCGGCTAGTTAGGGGGCCACATGTGAAAACAAAGAGTCTTGACTCAGTTGCTCAGTGTCTCCAGAGCCAGGAAGAGACAGACAGCTTGACCTTTCAGAGACCGTATAGTGGGCATGGGTCTCATGGATGCCAGCTCCGCAGCATTTTAATAGCTTTCCAAACCTGGGACATCGCCACTGCCGTGGTTTGGTTAAGGCTCACACCAAAGAGCCATGTAGTAAAGGTATGCCCCCTCAAGGGCGGTACAGTTGGGAGGCAGTGGAACCATGGTTGGGCCTAGTGGAAGGTGTTGAGGTTCTTGGAGGTTTGTCCTTGAGGGGAATTGTGGGATAACCTCTTTCTACCCACCCCCACCCCCCCACCCCCGTAAGTAGTTTTCTCTGCCATTTCCATCTGGTACCCCCACCAGGAACTCAAAGCAATAGATATTCCCAGTCTTGGACTTGGCCTTCTGGAACTATCAGACAAAGCAAGGCTTTTATCTTTGTAAGTTAATTGCTTCAGGTCTTTCATTACAGCAACACAAAGCTGGTAAACACAGCCATGTTATAGGTGGCATCTCACTCTGTTATGGACTCATCTGTGGGGAACTCTCAGGCATGTGATCTAGGCTATACCCATCGATTGGACATCATGAGACTTCAGTCTGGAAGAGAAGAAAGCAAGGGACAGATTCAACATGGGATTGTGTCTCAGTGATGGAGGTAGGGTGTGGCAGAGGGACGCAGATACTCACAGCAGAATGCAGCAAAGGCCTATCACCAGATGGGTGGGAAGCTCTGCACTGCTCATGAACTCAGAGCCCAAGTTTCTTTTTCACTCTGAATCATGTGGAGACTCTGTCAGCTGTTAATATGCTTTCATAAATGTGACTTCTATTTAAATCAACCAGAGTGAGACTCACATGTTTGTAAGACCCTCAACTGATAAATTCACTGTGAAAGTTAAACTTCATAATGACTGAGATTAGGAAGCTGTGCCAGCATGCACAGAGCTCTGGCTTTGAATCCCAGCACTGTGTGGACACACACACACACACACACACACTAAATTAAAAATCCTTTGGTGGTTAAAGATAGTTCAAGGATCTTCGTCCTCCAACCACCTGCTTGATGTGGAAGCTGGGATTGCTGCCCGCTCAGTATCTCTCAGGCAACAACCATTTTCTATGTTAGGCCCTGTGTTCTGGGGGCGCTGACAACATTCGCTGGATCTACAACTAAGTACATGACCTACATCAGGCCATTCAGAGGGCTGTTCCTCCCAAGCTCTATGATTGGTTCATTCATAGATAAGTTTCCCAAGGTGGACCAATGAGACCAGCACTGTGGATACAGGCTGCTGATCTGGAAAGTCAGTGTTGATGACTTCGTGCCTATGGGAAGGGGCCTGCCAGCCAGAGGAGAGCCACAGCTGGAGGGATGGATGCTGGTGCCTGAGTGATGTTGAGCACATGTGTCCAGCATTGCCAAGGTTGGGGCTGGTCTTAGATCACTTTCCAGTTGTGGAAATCACCAAATTCCATGTCAGTTCACTTGAGTTGGTTTCTGTTACTTGAAACCAGAGGGTTCTGATACATATGCTGGCACATGCTCAAATACTAGATTTTTTGGCAATTCTTTAAAGGAATTAAATTACACTGCTTACTTCAACACTCACTTGGCTGCTCTTCCAGCCTATGCCTTCATTGGGAGATGAATAGTATGGACCTGCTCCGGGTTGAATGGGGTTTATCCCCTCTGAAATTTATATGGAAACTTGATTGTCACCCTGGCATGTTGGGAGGCAGGGCCTCAGGGGAGGTGTTTGGCTGTAGAGAGAAGAGACCTCATGGATGGACGGATGCTCGAACTACTGAGGGAGTTTGGCCGTGCTCTCTGTCTTTTGCATGCACCCACTTGCTCTTCTGCTTTCTGCCATGAAGTGAAGAAGCTTAAGGCCTCACCAGAAGCCAAGCAAATGCAGTTTGTCTTAAATGTTCTTGCCTCTGGAACTCTGGGCTACAGGAATCTCCTCCCGTAAGCAACGGCTCACCTCAGTACAAGGGCGGCAAACGGGCAGAGACAGGCCCCAGGCGTTCATTCTCTCTCCTGTACCAACGCCCTGAGAAATGTGGCCGTGTTGACACACACCTGTCCCCGTAAGTCTGCCTCGTTCCTGCCGTATAAACACTGGGGACTCTGCCACTCTCCAGGAAGCGCTCCGCCCAGCTCTGACAAACACTGTTGTAACAATATAAGCCTCTGTTGCAGCAGCAGGCCCATGTTTCACCCCAAGCACAGTGTGGTACCCACCTGTGGCAGGTAGGCGGCCAGACGCCGCCGCCGGGTTCACGGCTGCTGTGGTGCTGTGCCTCCAGCAGGCCTCAGTGCTGGCACACTCTTCACTTGGCTCCTCTGCACAGATCCGTGAGTCCTCTCTGCTGCCAATCGACTCATTTTCTTCTTATTTTTAAAATCAGTTTCCCGGGAGGAAAAGATCATTTGATTTCTCTAACTGAGGTCTCTCATTAGGCAGAACTGACTGAGCTGGAGCCCGGAAGACAATGTCAGCCAGTCTCTGCACAGGTCCACATGAGAGAACACAGCAAACTGGATGAAGAAAGTTTAGGGGCAATGACCGTTTTCCTCAGGCGGGAGGGTGGCTGCGATGGCGTCCCTGACCGGTCTGGACCACTCCCTGGTGTATTAATAGCAGAAGATCGTGATGGTGACCTTGGGAAGGTGGGCGTGGAGGAATGGCATTCTTTCCGGCGTTTCCCTTCTTCCGGCACTGCACTTACTGGCTGTCTCTCTGAACGGTGCCAAATTTTATCAGAAACCCAAGGGCTCAGCTGGTTTGTGATCCCCGAGTGACTTTTAGGGATGAGGAAGTACTAGACATACATGAACCTCAAAACTCCTTTGACATGCAGAGTATGCATCACGGTCCTCACCGTGGGACTAGTAGTCTCCAGGTGGGCATGGGCATGGCAGTGAGGCTTGAGCAGTCTCCACTTCTTTTGATGGGCTTGGTAAAGCAACATTTGCCCTATAATTTTCCTCTGTGATCGATATGCACTTGCTGCCCTTGGTCTTGTCCTGAGTAAATTCTGTAGTGTTGCACCTGACCTCAAAAGCAGTGCCAAGACCTCCCGTTTCAGGCCAAAGTGCCGATAAAATCCTGGGAGGCTCCAAGGAGAACCATCTAGGCCCCTCCCCGTGGATGTGTGAGAAGTGTTGCTGTTAGCCTACTGTGTGAGCTTTTAATGAACAGGAAGACATGCTAATCCCCTCTTTATAAGATAAAATCCTTAACCACCAGGGTGGCAGTAGGAGAGAATTTGATAGGACGGCAAGATGTATCAGAGGTCCCCTTTGCTTGTCTGGATGTCCCCAGATGGACAGAGTATTAAGGCGGCTGGCTACTTCATCCCCCGGGGAAATGCATAATCTTCAAAGTCATCTCCTTCCTGAACTTAAAGGATCTAATACAGCCAGAGTTATAAGCTTGCAAACCCGTGACTCATCTTTCCAAAGCTGTAGTGTCTTAGCTTTGGGTTAATTTATTTAATCCATTTTGTCTCATTTCCCCCATTAAAGGAGTATCACAGGGGCTGGAGAGATGGGTCAGAGGTTAAGAGCACTTGTTGTTCTTGCAGAGGACCAGGGTTTGGTTCCCAGCACCCTCACAGAGGTGCACAACCACCTGTAACTTCAGCTCAGATGCCCTCTTCTGGCCTCCACAGGTACACATGTCCTACACATATATACATGCAGGCAAAATGTTCACAAACACACACCTAAAATAAAGTCTTTAAAGAGTGTCACAAAAGATGCTTTTCCTTCTTCCTCTCTGTGTATGCATGTGTGTGGGATAAGCTTTTTGTGCACTGTGAAGATGTGTCTCTGCCAAGGCACCCTCTGATTGGTTTAATAAAGAGCTGAATGGCCAATAGCAAGGCAGGAGAGGATGAGTGGGGCAAGAAGAGATAGGAACTCCAGGAAGAAGAGAAGAGGGATTTGCCATTGAGAGGGAGAATAAGTCAGAGTCGGACACACACTATGGAGGAAAGGTAACAAGCCACATGGCAGAATGTAGATTAATATAAATGGGTTAAATTGTTATAAGAGCTGGTTAGGAACAAGCCTAAGCTAAGGACAAGCTTTCATACTTAACAAGAAGTCTCCATGTCACTATTTGGAAGCTGTCAGTCCAAAGAAAGTCCAATTGCAGGTGTGCATGGGTGTCTATGTTCATATGTGAGTGTGTGTGTGTGTGTGCATGCGTGCGTGCGTAGTACATGTGAACAAAGGACATTTTTCCTCAGGTTTTTGAGACAGGGTTTTTTATAAGACTAGAAATTATTGACTAAGCTAGTTTGACTAGCCAGCAAGCCCAGGAATCCACGTTTCTACCTCCAAATTGCACACACTGCCACATTTGGGTTTTTATGTAGGCTTTGAGAATTGAACTCACGTCCCAGTGTTTGCAAGGCAAGCAATTTACTGAGTTATCTTACTGCCCAAAATGTGGGTTTCAGTTTGGGTGAGTAACCCCAAGGTGACCTGTCGCCACTCTGGAGAAGACTTGGCTGATTGAAGGACTGGACTTAGAGCACTTATTTAAAGCCGTCTGTGTCATTATTAACTTGGCAACGGCGGGTCCAGTCTGTTTCCGCCTGTGTAAAGGGAGGTAAGGATAATATACACCTGCACAACAACAGTGTGCACATTCAGTGGGATTCTGTACATGAGAGCTACATAGGAATGAGCCACTTTTTCCTCTGGCTGGGGGGATTTCCTGGGGAAGCTTCACACCTCCGAGACCTCTGGGGCTGCCTGCACTCTGGAGCCCTTCCGGTGGAGGGCAGCAGAAAGACACATCTGGGCACCTTGGGCTTGTCCTTAGTGCCTTTCTTCTGCCAAGCATCACTGGTTCCAGAGAAAGCAGCCAAGGGAACAGCTGGCTCTGAGTGTCAACCTGGACACGGGCCATTTATAGAGTACAAAGTGCATTATGTGCAGACTGGCTGCTCCATGTCACTGGGCACCATACTTACAACTCACAGGATGACATGAAGAGCCCCCCATCCCCCTCTCCCCGCCTAGTTACCCTGCTCTGTCACCTGACTCTGAGAAAGTGACTCATCAAGACAGGCCCTACATCCAGGCTCTGGGAGAACTAATCCATAAATTAGCCAGACTTTGGTTAACTCAGTGATGTAAGAGGCTGGCAAATGGTTAAGAGCTGTGTCTAGAAGGTGCCAGGCTGACAGATCCAGGGCTTGGGGACTCCACTGTGAAAGTTGAAATGCGCTTTTCAGGCTGCCAGGCTGCACAGAGCCATCTTATCCTGTAGCTTGAACAGAATTTAGAGAAAACCCCCTGGAGTGCTCCACTTAGGATGGACTCCCAGGTCATCAGCCTGACTCCTTGGTACATAGACAAGAAAAGTCAGAGGGGACCCCATCTCTCCACTAATGAGACACAGTTCTAGGGCCAAGATCTGGGACTGTCTTAGTTAGGGTTTCTGTTGCTGCGATGAAACATCATGTCCAAACGCAACGTGGGGAGGAAAGGGTTTGTTCGGCTCAAACGTCCACACCACAGTTCATTACAAAGTCAGTCAGTGCATTACCTCAAACAGGGCAGGAACTTGGAGGTGGGAACCGATGCAGAGGCCATGGAAGGGTGCTGCTTACTGACTTGTTCCCCATGGCTCGCTCAGCCTCCTTTCTTATAGAACCCAGGACCATCATCCCAGGGATGGCACCACCCACAATGGGCTGGGCCTTTCCCCATCAATCACTAAAGATAGTGGGGGAGATGGGGAGGGAGAGAGAGAGAAAGAATGAAAAGAAAGAGAGAGAGAAAGGAAGGAAGGAAAGAAGGATGGAAGGAGGGAAGGAAGAAAGAAAATGCCCTACCGATTTGACTGCAGCCCAATCTTATGGAGGCATTTTCTCAGCTGAGATTGCCTCCTCTTTGATGATGTCATCTGTGTCAAGTTGACATGAAACCAGCCAGCACAGAGACGTTTATTCCCCCTGCCTAACAAGCCACTTCTGAAGCAGTGGGAGCTTTGAACTTACTTGAGATTTATTGCATTGAAATCTCAGTGGACAGATTCTGCTTGCTGTGTCTTATCTGGTGTCCCCCACTTCCTATATAGCTTCAGGAACATTGGTGTTGGAAAGAGAATAAAGCCAGAGTGACTGTCCTAGCTTTCAGTTGCCCCGAGGAGCCTCTTGGGATCTCTGCAACTCCAGAATCCAGATTCTGTGAGTTTGGATGGGAACTCTTTAGCTTTGGGGATGAGTCAACACAGGCTCAGCTGAGAGTTCCTTGGCTTGTCCTGTATTCTCCAGAGTATGCCAAAGTGCTGGGTCATAACTGGGATGGAACTTCAAAGCCTCTGGTTTTATTCTACTAGAGTGGCTGAGCAGTGCATGTTCCAGAATTGGAGTGCTCCCTGTGCCATGTGATGTTCAGGTCAGCTGGCTCTCCCTTGTCCTTAGCCCAGTGCCTGAGAGTTCCTAGGAAAAGGAAGGAAGCACTTTATGAATAAGAGGGTCCTAAAGGGAAGCAGGGGCTCTCCCGGAAAGGGTGGCTGCCCTGTGCCCACCCTAGGCACTACACCAGCTGCCTATGCCTAGGGTTTTCTCTTGGGGTTCCTTTATGTGGGAGGGTACTGCCAAAGGTAATTTTGAGGAGACATTGCTCATGCTCACTCATCTGCCAGAGACACATCTGTTCAACCACACTACAAAATCATCTTGTTGACTTACTTAGTATCTGTGAAGTTCATATTCTAATTAACAGGATGTGGGAGTTTACAACACCTGAAGGGGCTAGCAAGGCATGAAAAATGGATGAAGATCTGGGTACCAGATGTTTGTCTCACCTACATAAAATAAGATAAAGTGATGAGACAAAATGTTAAATCCAACCCACCCACCCTCTGAGACTGCAACTGTTCCCTGAGACAGAGCCTGCCAGCACCTGACTGGACTAAGAGGTGAGTCTTTATCCTCATACCCAAACACCCCAGCCCGTAGGCTTTGGGCCCAGGGGCACAACCCTGTGCCCCCACACCACCACCCATTGCAGTCCCAGTTTCAGGCCAGTTGGCAGGCAGACCTCCTGCACACAGGACAGACTACTACCATCCCCCATCAGACCCTGTAACCCAAGCCCCACCTCCCCCAAATCCCACCCACCCTCTGAGACTGCAACTGTTCCCTGAGACAGAGCCTGCCAGCACCCGATTGGACTAAGAGGCCAGTTGGCAGGCAGACCTCCTGCACACAGGACAGACCACCACCATCTACCACATGGTAAGAATGCAGCTACTCCCTGAGACAGAGCCAGCTGGACTAAGAGCTGCTCCCTGATACAAAAAGTTCATCATCATCGACTAGACCAAGAGCTCCCATGGGATCAAGAGTATCGATCAGACCAAGAGAGGCTCCCTCAGACACAGATATTGTTTGCACCAAGTGGAGAAAGAGATTGGTAGAAGCCAGTGCAAAAATATAGTCAACAACATAAAAACCAATATGGCTCCATCAGAACCTACATCAGCAAGACCTGAACATCCCAACACAGGAGAAACAGAAGAAATCGACCTTAAAAATGAAGATATTAGAGATCTTAAAAGAGGAAAAATTCCTTAGAGAAATCTAGTAAAAGTCAAACAAAAAATGGGAAGAAATCAACAAATTCCTTGAAAGCCAAGAGAAAGCAACTGAACAAGTGAGGGAAACAGTTCAAGATTTCAAAGCTGAAATGGAGTCAATAAAGAAGACACAAACTGAGGGAATGTTGGAAGTGGAAAATCTGAGCAAACAAACAGGAACTACAGATGCAAGTATGACCAACAGAATGCAAGAGATGGAAGAGCGGATCCCTGGCATTGAAGAAATGGTAGAAGAAATAGATTCATCAGTCAAAGAAAACACTAAAGCCAACAAAGTCATGACCCAAAATGTCCAGGAAATCTGAGACACCATGAAAAGACCAAACCTAAGAATAATTGGGATAGAAGAAGAAGAATACCAACTCAAAGGCACAGAAAATATATTCAACAAAATCATAGAAGAAAACTTTCCCAACCTAAAGAAGGAAATGCCAGTAAAAATACAGGAGGGTTACAGAACACCAAATAGACTGGAGCCAAAAAAAAAGTCCCCTTGCCACATAATAATCAAACCACTAAACATACAGAATAAAGAAAAAATATTAAGAGCTGCAAAGGAAAAAGGCCAAGTAACATATAAAGGCAGACCCATAAGAATAACACCTGACTTCTCAATGGAGACTTAAAAAGCCTGGACAGACGTTATGCAGATACTAAGAGACCGTGGATGCCAACCCAGACTATTATACCAGCAAAACTCTCAATCAACATAGACAGAGTAAACAAAATATTCCATGATAAAAACCAGATGTAAACAATATCTCCACAAATCCAGCCCTACAGAAAGCACTCAAAGGAAAAATCCAACCTAAGAAACTTAGATACACCCATGAAAACACAGGCAATAGACAGTCCCACACCAACAAGTACCAAAGAAGGGAAACATACAACACTATCACCAAAAAATAACAGGAATTAACAATAACTGGCCATTAATATCCATCAATGTCAATGGTCTTAATTCGCCTATAAAAAGACACAGGCTAATAGAATGGATATGAAAACAAGATCCATCCATTTGCTGCATACAAGAAACACACCTCAACTTCAAAGACAGACACCACCTCAGTAAAAGGCTGGGAAAAGACTTTCCAATCAAATAGTTTTAAGAAGCAAGCTGCTGTAGCTATCCTAATATCTAATAAAATAGACTTCAACTAAAATCAACCGAAAGAGATTGGGAAGGACACTATATATTTATCACAGGGAAAATCCGACAAGATGAAGTTTCAATTCTGAATATTTATGCCCCAAATACACGGGCACCGACATTCATAAAAGAAACATTACTAAAGCTTAAATCACACATCAAACCCCACACACTAGTAGTGGGAGACTTCAACACCCCACTCTCACCAATGGACAGGTCTGCCAGACAGAAACTTAACAGAGAAATAAGGGAACTAACAGACATTATGACTCAAATAGACTTAATAGATATGTCCAGAATATTCCACCCTAACACAAAAGAATATACCTTCTTTTCAGCACCCCATGGAACCTTCTCCAAAATCGAACACATGCTTGGTCACAAAGCAAATCTCAACAGATACAAAAAAAAAAATTGAAATAACCTCCTGTGTCTTATCAAACCACCATGGCTTAAAGTTAGATTTCAACAACAACAAAAATTACAGAAAGCCTACAATCTCATGGAAACTGAATAATGCCCAATTGAATCACTAATAGGTCAAAGAAGAAATAAAGAAAGAAATTAAAGATTTCCTAGAATTCAGTGGAAATGAATGTACTACATACCCAAACTTATGGGACACCATGAAAGCAGTGCTAAGAGGAAAATTCATAGCTCTAAATGCCCACATAAAGAAGTTGGAGAAATCTCACACTAGTGACTTAACAGCACAACTGAAAGCTCTAGAACAAGAACCCACCCAGGAGAAACAGATGCCAGAAAACAATCAAATTGAGGGCTGAAATCAATAAAATAGAAACAAAGAGAACAATACAAAGAATCAATGAAACAAAGAGTTGGTTCTTTGAGAAAATCAACAAGATAGATAAGCCTTTATCCAAATTAACCAAAAAGCAGAGAGAGAGCATCCAAATTAACAAAATCAGAAATAAAAAGGGGACATAACAACAGACAATGAGAAAATCCAGAGAATCATCAGTCATACTTCAAAAACCTGTACTCCACAAAATTGGAAAATCTGAAAGAAATGGATGATTTTCTGGATAGGTACCCCATATCAAAGTTAACCAAGACCAGATAAACTATTTAAATAGACCCATAACCCCTAAGGAAATAGAAGTAGTCATTAAAAGTCTCCCAAACAAAAAAAAAGCCCAGGACCAGATGGTTTCAGCGCAGAATTCTACCAGATTTTCAAAGTTACTCTTCAAATTGTTCCACACCACAAAAACAGAAGGAACATTACCAAATTCTTTTTATGAGGCTACCCTGATACCCAAACCACACAAAGATGCAACAAAGACAGAGAATTACAGACCCAATCTCCCTCATGAATATTGATGCAAAAATACTCAACAAAATACTGGCTAACTGAATCCAGGAACACATCAAAAAAAATCCACCATGACTGAGTAGGCTTCATCCCAGGGATGCAAGGATGGTTCAACATATGGAAATCTGTCAATGTAATACACCATATAAACAAACTGAAAGAAAAAAAAAACACATGATCATCCCATTGGATGCTGAAAAAGTCTTTGACAAAATCCAACACCCCTTCATGATAAAGGTTCTAGAGAGATCAGGAATACAAGGAACATACCTAAACATAATAAAGGCAATTTAGAGCAAGCTGACAGCCAGCATCAAATTAAATGGAGAGAAACTCAAAATGATTCCACTAAAATCAGGAACAAGACAAGGCTGTCCACTCTCCCCATACTTATTCAATATAGTACTGGAAGTTCAAGATAGAGCAATAAGACAACATAAGGAGATCAAGGGATACAAATTGGAAAGGAAGAAGTCAAACTTTCATTATTTGCAGATGATATGATAGTGTACATAAGTGACCCCAAAAATTCTACTAGGGAACTCCTACAGCTGATAAACTTCTTCAGTAAGGTGGCAGGATACAAGATTAACTCAAAAAAAAAAAAATCAGTAGCCCTCCTATATACAAATGAAAAAGGGGCTGAGAAAGAAGTAAGAGAAACATCACCCTTTACAATAGCCACAAATAATATAAAATACCTTGGGGTAACTTTAACTAAGCAAGTGAAAGACCTGTATGATAAGAACTTTAAGTCTCTGAAGAAAGAAATTGAAGAAGATATCAGAAAATAGAAAGATCTACCATGGATAGGTAGAATCAACATAGTAAAAATGGCAATCTTACCAAAAGCAATCTACAGATTCAATGCAATTCCCATCAAAATCCCAACACAATTCTTCACAGACTTAGGAAGAACAATACTTAACTTTATATGGAAAAACAAAAAACCTAGGATAGCTAAAAGAATCCTGTATAATAAAGCAACCTCTGGAGGCTTCATGATCCCTGACCTCAAGCTTTACTATGGAGTTATAGTAATAAAAACAGCTTGGTACTGGCATAAAAACCGACATGTGGGCCAATGGAATTGAAGTGAAGACCCCGGCATTAATCCACACACCTATGAACATATGATTTTCAACAAAGAAGCCAAAACTGTACCATGGAAAAAAGAAAGCATCTTCAACAAATGGTGCTGGCATAATTGGATGTCAACGTGCAGAAGATTGCAAAGAGATCCATATCTGTCACCATGCACAAAACTCAAGTCCAAGTGGATCAAAGACCTCAACATAAGTCCAGTTACACTGAACTTGATAGAAGAAAAAGTAGGAAGTAGTCTGGAATG